TCTAATTTTTTAATTTTTATTTAAACAAAAGGGCGCCAAAAATAAATTAGCCAAGGGCGTCAAAAATCCAGTTACGCTCCTGAAAGAGTAAAACTGAAAGTAAATTATATTCTCTTTTGCAACGTTTAAATCTCAAATCAAAGGTGGACAGAATAAAATAGTTAAGTAAAGTATATTATTTTATGCACTGTTTAATTAACTGTAAATGGGTTTTCGCATGGGTTTTGCCAAGAGTTGTCTCAACCTAAGTGCAGTCACGTCACTTTGGAGAACCCCAACACTGGACTTAGGGTGACAGTATAAAATATTAAAATGAAAATTTCCATTTGTTTTTATTAACCCTTACAGTACCGGGCGCGTCTTTTTGCAGTACCTACATTTTGCCTCTAACCCAAGCGCATCTTTTTTCACCAACTCATTGTTTTCCCTGGGCCCAAGCCCGTCTATTTGCCACTTTGGGGGGTATCTAATATAAACACAGAAACGAGGATATAACCTTTCACCACAGTCTCGGGTAGAATGTTTATTTCGTTAGGGGAATAGTCGAATTTTAATTTGCCTTTTAAATTATGAAATGCGACGAATTACTGAGTTTTTTGTGTGGATCTGTATTTGTTGTTTTTATAGCACTACCTAGCGATATTGTTGATGACTATTTATGCCTACTTGATGAAACCTTTTGTTTTGAAACTATTTTTGAGCTTTTATTAGGATTAGATGATTCTGATGCTGATAAGGAAGAGGGGGATGAAATTTTTGAAGGAAATAGGCCTACTACAGCTCAAAATTTACGCCTACGGGAGCTAGTAGGTTTAACAGGTTTTAGAATAGTGTCAACGTAGATATTGATTGAGTAAGATCGACTGGACACTGTGCTAGCCGCACAATCCCCTTCTGTGCCATTGACAATGAAAAGTTTAAACAAAACACTTAAGTTTTTTTAACACCCTTATCAATTTCTGAACAGATGATTCTCTACATGTTATTATCATTATAATCAAATTGTTTAAAACAATAAAGCTACAAAATAATTTGCAGCCCTATCACATTTGGCTCATTCAAAAATAATGTCTGGGCCACAGGGAATAGTTAGCAAAATAATAGCCAGCACTGAAGCTATACAAGCAAAAAAATTAGGTCAGTACTGTAAGGGTTAAAATATCAACTAACAAGGTTAAAAGAAATACAAAGAGAAACTCATTCTTGCTGATACCCAAGATGAACACTGAAAAAAAGATGTGTGCATTGTTTAAAGTGATGTCTTTTGATTTGTTGAAAAAAAAGATGTGTGCATTGTTTAAAGTGATGTCTTTTGATTTGTTGAAAAAAAAGATGTGTGCATTGTTTAAAGTGATGTCTTTTGATTTGTTGAAAAAAAAGATGTGTGCATTGTTTAAAGTGATGTCTTTTGATTTGTTGAAAAAAAAGATGTGTGCATTGTTTAAAGTGATGTCTTTTGATTTGTTGAAAAAAAAGATGTGTGCATTGTTTAAAGTGATGTCTTTTGATTTGTTGAAAAAAAAGATGTGTGCATTGTTTAAAGTGATGTCTTTTGATTTGTTGAAAAAAAAAGAGTACCTCTCACAAAGACCCCTCCCCCACCGTCAACACAAAATTAAGAGAAAACTGTAAGTAGCTAAAACAGCACATTCCCTCTCTTTTCCCACCCCATTTTAGCAGACATGTGTTTGCACTACTTTTTCTTTACATGGCCGCCACCTTGGTTGCGATGACACATCCGCCATCATGGTAACCAATATGGTGGCTGCGATAATTGAGTGCCATGCGGAAACAACATTTATCGCCTAATCTCATCATAATTTGTCATAAAGTGATAAAGTCAATAAATATAAATTATAAATCAATGATTGAATGATCTAAGTCAAAGCTTTTGGTTTGGCTTTAGCTTTTACACAAATTTAAAAATTATTATAAAATTAAAATACTTTTTAAACTTATTTAAAGCAGGACTAGACTAGGTTGGGAAATTTAAATTCCAACTAGAAGTTATTGAGTAAAAAAAAATTAATTAATATAATTAATTTGATCAAGCCCTAGCCTGTGTTATATTACAATAATATTCTTCATATAGCTTTCTTATTCTGTTCACATAGTTTTATTATTATTTTCATATAGTTTTGTTACTTATGTTCATGGGCGCCCGCAGGTAGTGGCAAGGTGGGGCACTTGCCCCCCCCTGGATTGATTGGATAAAAAATTTTTAGACAAAAATAGACAAAAAATTTATTAAAATAAAGAGAAAATAAAGAGAAAGTAACTAAGCTGATGTCCTGTCCGTTCGTTCACCATACAAATGTGCTACAGTAAATTAAAACTATATTAAAACATTACTTAAAATTTTGTGCCCCCCCCTGGAAAGTTAATTGATTTTTTTTGCCCCCCCCCCCTAGAAAGTTTTCTGCGGGCGCCCATGCTTATGTTACATGTTTCAATCTATTTTGTTAGAATGTTCATTCAAGTTTCGTTAAAAAAATGTAAACATGGCCACGCAGATGAGCCGCATAAAACAATGTTTAAGTCAGATACAGCTGTTCTAACTGTACATTGTGATATACTTTTAGCTCTTTTGACAGTTTAATTTTCTTTGTATAATTCCACTCATAGACTTTAACTTCCATTTGTTTTTTCTCTAATAAACAAATAAATATTCCAAGTCGGCTGCGCATAACCACTTCGTAAATATGAATAACTTACTTATTCAAATATTTTAGATCTCAGAGTTGTGTATTAATGTTTAGTTGAAAAAATATGTCAAGTTTCATTTGTTTCATTTTATTTTCTAATAAGTATCATAATAAGTAGGGACACAATATGCCGCTCCAGAAAGAGCTGAAATAACACTTAGTGATGACAATGAAATGAACATACCGGTACCGTACTTAAAACATATCAATATCATTGACATCAACAATTTTAGCTCTTGTAAAAAAAAATGTTGATAATTGAAACAAAAAGCCATACTGCCACTGTTGTAACTATGGGTCTCAATACAAAAAGCCATACTGCCACTGTTGTAACTATGGGTCTCAATACAAAAAGCCATACTGCCACTGTTGTAACTATGGATCTAAATACAAAAAAAGCATTAAAAAATTAATTGGAACCTCTCTGCATCATAACACTGTTGCACGCATGTCAACTATTTCTGTCAGAACATTTCTGGACTACGTGATATATCATAGTGCTTAAAAAAAACTAAACGATATCCTATCAAGCTTTGACATCATTTAAAGATATCTCTACAGTGGGTGAAAGTGAGTCTACATGAAGAATACCGGTACCATTTTTATTACTGGTATACCATTTAATATGAAATACCAGAAAATTAGCTATGTCTAGGAGTAGGAGGTTTGACTGGATCTATTAGTAACACTAACACTCTATTGGTCGAATATGTTGGCCCCTAACAGAGCAGATGTAGGCACAATTAATTGTCCTATGTCCAATATATAGGCTATAGTGCTATAGTTAGGCCTATTAAATTTTTTAAATTTAACTTGTGCATACCGGTAGCTTCAGTTTTGAGATGTGTTTGTGCCATTCTCATTAACGATCGATCCATCCTACACTACTTAAAACTACACCCCTACCGATCTCGGTCTGCCGATAACGCTCAACATTATTCACAGAGCTGTGTAGATAACGCTTCCCTTTAAACTTTAAATAGTATAGTATAATATACTATAATATAGGTTAATTTTTCTATTTTTAATTAAACATCACTCATCAGCAATCGTTCAAGATAATTATATATTTGTCTTTTCTTTAAGGCTGATCAGTAAGATTTCCTGACCTTCGATTAATTGATATTTTGGGTAATAAATGGCACTTCGAGATTTCACAGTAGTAGTGTTGACAATAATTTTGGCCCGTCCCACAAATATGGCGATACTATGACGTCACATTAAATTACCCAAGGGGAGGCTACTCAAAATAATGCAAAGTATATAGACACATTTGAGTTTCTCTCGATTACCACAGCTCAGACTTCTTTTAAACGTTTATAAATATAGAAATAAATAAAATTGCTTCGTTTTGAAATATGTTTTTTTTTAATTATGATTTTGTTTAATAAATCTTTTATTTTTTTCAAATCGGCAGTCGATTTTATTAAACCCTTTTTTTTAATGCTCTCTTGGTTTTGTACCATTGCTAAATCAGGTTAAATTTTAAGTAAACAGTAAGCTCAAAATATGATGACGTTTTGCACTTAACGAATCCATAACGTTTATCATCTCCAGAAATTAGATGATAGGTTGTCTCAAAATTTAAAATTTGGGTAAGGCAAATGGAACTTACTGTTTTGCTCCTAAAGACTTGATAATATTTTGTAAATAAGATCAGCATATGAAGTTAGGGTCAAATCAACAAAGTGCTGTTTTAAACTGCTATATTTAGTGTCTCGGTGTGCTATTTTGATTCGTCAGCAGAAATTATTTTTACCAACAAGCCCAGAGTCATAAAATAAACAAATAAAAATGTATCACCAAATTAAAATTGGATCAGCAATTGATTTTAACTCTGGTGGTGAAATGGTTGTTCCTGGAGGCATCAAGAGTATTGTTTTTCCAAATGAAGATTCTCAATTAAAATGCAATATCCAACTAGAAGAAGCAGATGAATCCCCATCTTCAGTACTGAGATTACCTGAAGATTTAAATGTAAATAACATTGAAGAGTTTTTAAATACCAATTATGTTAATGACAACTTAGATGGATGTTTTGAAGCAATGAGTTCAATGACCAATGAATATAGTAATGATTCAGAATTAACAAACTATTATGCCAGTTCTTGTGGTAAACTTTCAGAATCAGATGAACTATTTTTCCCTAATCCATGTGTTCAAGAAAATGAAAATAACAATAAAAATAATGACATTGTCAGTGTGGATAAAAAAAGTAAAAAAAATATTACCTATCTCATTACTCATTCAGGACCAGCAGATTGCTACACTGGAAGTAAATCTCTTGGAGGCGACAGCAATTCAAAAAATGCTATTGCTGCAAGAGATAATCGCCTTAAGAAAAAAAGATATGTTGCCAGCTTAGAAGAATCTTTAAAAGACTTAAAATGTGAAAATGAGCACTTAAGTTTGGAAAATGAAAAACAAAAAAAGGCCTTAATGGTTCTTAAAAATGAAGTAACTTATTTAAGAAGTGTTATAGCAAATCAAACAACTCTGGCTGCAATTTTAAGAAATGTTTCCAAAACACCAGGCGTAAAGTTGTCAACTTCTTTTTTAAACCAAACTACAATAAATCTCAGCAAAAATAATGCTGCCCTTGAGGAAAATGCAAGTGATGATTTTCCTGTTACCTCAAGCACAAACAGCACTTCTCATTGCGATCATGTTAAAAAAAGGAGAACTCTAAGATCATCTAAATCATACTCGTTTGTTGAATCGCAGAAAATTCCAAAACAAAAATATCAAAAAAGAAAACTTATGGGAACCCATCTATCTAAATCTGTAAAAGATACAAGCAAAGACCATTTCAATGAATGCATAGAAACAAAAAAGGATGGTTGTGTCTCTCAAGATTTTGATGATAATCTACCAATAAATGTAGAGGATATTGACTCTGACGAGCCATCAGAATTATTGACCAACGATACAAAAGTAGCTGCTGGAATATGCTTCCATGTGTCAGGAGAGACTGTTTCTTTAGAATTTTGCTCTCAGTGCAATGCAAGTGCACACACAGAAATAATGTCAGATCATTCTTATGTAAAAATCTGAAGTACTGCTTAAACTTAAATGGTGTAATTTTTTTGGATTTCAAGAACATTTTAGCCAAAAATTCATACTAACTTTTTTGACATTTTGTTTGTGAAAATAGAATAATTTTGTTCACCTTATGATTATGAGCCATTATGTTTCCCTGATGACACAAGCGCATTATTGAATCATTGCTATACCGGTACTTGAAATATATACTATTTTTCCTACAATATAGAATAAGTCTGTAGCTATTTTCATTACACATAAAAACACTTGTAATGTGAGTGTGATTCCATTTTTCTAAAACTGCATATGAATATGACTTCAAGCTACAGCATTTTAAAATTAAACAGCTACATCAATCACCCTTCTTCCATGAATTACTGTAGAAGTTAAGTTATTTTTTAAAGCTTTAACTTATGTTTTATTTCATATATGTTTATTTTAATACAAGATTTCGCAACATTATTAAGACCTTAGACTTAGTACTACTGTACAATGTGATTTTATCATTTGTGCTTCGTCAATAAATAACGTGTTGTTCATAAATGATGTCCGCCATGGTGGGGGATGTCAAATGCCAAAACTGCTGGGAAAGGGTATAAAGGATCTTGTGGAGTCCACAAGTTAGCATTTTTGTAATATGTTGCTTTAGGCCCACTGCGTGTTTTCCAATTTTTTTTAAATTTTGGACATCTTCTCTCGCTGATATATTTGTGAAATGCCAGTATTTATAATCTTAAATCTACATTTAAACCACCAAAAGTTACTAAAATCTTCATGAGGATCTTCATAAGAATGTGTATCAAATATTGTTTATTATCTCATTTAAATATTTTAATGTACGCCTCTTTTTTTATCTGTAAATGTATATTTATGTAAATAATTTGTTTTTACTTCATAATTTACATCTGTTATATACTGTTTGAACATTTGATAGTTGAGTTTGTTTACATTTCAGCCAGTTCCCATCAAGACAGCTATTATCTATGAAGGCTTATTTGATGTACTTCTATGACCATTTGGACTTACTCTCATCAAAACAAAATTAATGGTCCGTTGTGTTGATAATTTTTTGTTTTTCATTTTTTCATTTCATACTTCATTTATAAATTGTTTTATCTTATCCTATAATATAAGCTAATGAAATGAGTCTTCAAATAACCCCATTTTTCTGGTTATCATTTGAAATACCTTATTGGTCTTTGATACCTGTAATTACATCACTATTAATATTAACTTACTTTCCGGTGTAACAATCATTAAAATGCAGGGCATTATAATTGGTTCTCCGTTGCTATCACTTACTAAAGACTTTTCTTATTCCTACAGGTGATGTGCCATGGACAAACTGTCTGTTTATCAGACATTGGTTGGGAAGCGATGAGTCTATCAAAAGGATAGACAGTTTTTTTTTTTTTTTATGGAACCTCCCCTGCATTTAATAATCTTGATAGCTTTGCAAATACTTTAGATACTTATTACTTAGGTCAAAAAAGAGTATCTCAGGAAGTGGGGGACGTCTATTAAAAATTATTATTATATTTATATAGACCTATGTATCCTGTGTTTTTATTTGAAGGTTAATAGATAAGTACAGCATTAAAAGTTATCACAGTTTTTTCTAGTGCCTGCAAAGCTGCAAATTATATTAAATTTGACTTTCAATACATCTATAGTCTTTTAACTACAGTACCGGAAATCATGAATAATAATTTTTTTTTTTTTTAAATGAAGAACAGTGCTATCAAATAGTTCTACTGATTTAGAAGAAGTAAATATTAATGAACAAACATGATTATATAAAGCCAATCCCTTTATATAATTAATTACTTTCATTAGGTTATATTTTATATGAATGAATAGGAAAGCTAGATTTGTAAACTTTATTTCTAAAAATTTAAAAACAAAATTGTTAATTTAATTATAATTGTAATAATTCAACCTTTGCTGTCTGTGTATTGATTGGGTATGGCTTTGAAATAAATCGCTCACAGGCATTCCTCTAACATTCACAAAGTGACCCCCATGACCCTTTATAGAAAAAATACTCTTTTTTTTTTTTATTATCAAAGGAAGAAAATACTGTACTGGTAGTCATGTGTTGAGGGAATATTGAAATAGTGAAAACATACCAGTTAAATCAGGGGTCCGGAACCTCCATAAGTGTCTCTATTGATGGCTGCATCTGGCTCGCCTACACGTGTTCGATTATAAAAAAAAATGTTTCTTTAGACTCCTTTGATCTACATATTAATTGCATATCAATATTTCATTCCATAAATGAGCTAAAGTCTACTGCAGAATTGGTAAATTTACTTGAATTTTTAGTTATACTGGTAAACATAATGTATGGCTCTCACAGAATCACTTTTCAAAATATGTGGTGTCCATGGCTCTCTCAGACAAAAAGGTTCCCGACCCCTGAGTTAAACTATCATAAATACAAAGAAATCTAAACAATAGTTTTTGAAAGGTTAAAAAAAAAACGTGTTTGGAATTTTAACAATTTTAATTTTTAACAACTTCAAATGGTAATGAAATTATTGCCATGCTTTTTATTTATAAGTACGTCAAAGTGAGTATAAATTAACTGTCAGTGAGTGTTAAGTATTATAACAAACTGGGTATTGGTAGGGTAGAGTAAGACTGAACTACTGGTTATTTGATGATTAAAGGAGTACCATACTTACTTGTAGTGCAGCAGAGGGCCAAAAAGGTGAGTATAAGGGGAGGTTCCTTTGTGGCATTTGTTTTGTCCTCTTTCAATTTTATTTTAGTTATTATGTTATTGCAATAATTACAAACTTCTATTTAAAACATACTTGAGACCTGAAATTCAGTACACAGCTTTGACTTTTCAGAAATTTTAATAGTATTAAAAGAGGGATCCTTGAAATCTGCAATGTAATTACTATTTCAAATTTCTAGGTCAATAAATAAAAGAAGTTAAGTTTTAGAAGATGTAACTTGAAATATAATTGACCTTTAGATTCATAAGATTCACCAAATGCCCAATGACCCAACTGGGGGTCAAATCATTGTTAAAAGACCATTTTCTGGAATAAAGTTTAAGTTTAAAAATGGGTAAACATACTGCTCGAAAGCTTTACAGAATCATTGACATACAAATACAACACCCTAAAAGGGGGTATTGGTGGTGGAGATTACAACGTGGACACCAGAGCCTCATTACCCAAATGAAAACAGAACACTGTCAATAGGTTAATTCCTCTTGGGGACCCAAGCTGCCGCCTCTGTGTGCAGGTGGGAGAGACAGTAAGTAGTGCACTTGCTGGCTAGGGGCCCAACACTGGTGAGTGGTGGAGTTCAGAGTTTTCCCTGGCAAGCATGTGATGTGCTTGCTGGGGCTATAAAAGAGAAAGAACATTTTCATAAACTCAGGGGTATCAGTCAAGCCAAAGGTCTGCACGAGAATAATTAAATGGCGCAAAGGTCATAACAAATTAAATATAAATGTCTTTATTAAACATTGTCTCTTGATAACAATATTTCAAGCAAATCACTTAAAGGCACCATAGAAAGCTTGTAAGGCAGAATTTGAGACCCCTTCTGAAAATAATTCTGTGATTTTTGCAATAATATGTTCTGTTTCTATTCATTTCTACATCTCCTGTTATTTTTTTGTTCACACAAATGATCTAGTATTTGTACCAGTATACTAAAACCTTTAACTGGTATGTGTACAAAACCAATTTTTTCCCTTGTTTTTTTCCTCAAATATCTTATTTTAACATTTTAAAGTTATAGTTCAATAAATTTATTCTAATGTGAATAGTGCATTCAGTTGAATATATTAATGTTATCTACAATGAATTTAGTTCAATGATCAAGATTAGAATGTAATTATTCATAATTTATTCTCTATCTTAAGTGATGTTATTGTAGACAGAACTCTGCTAATAGATTTGCTGAATGCACACTTAGGTGCATTACTGATGTAATCTTTTGATAAAATAGTACCATAATAGTAATAGAAGATTCACAATGAAATAATCTGCTATTATATCAATACTATTAGCCTACTATAGCAATAATAGAGGTGTATATTAGTATTAGTCTCCAGTAAATGTGCACCATTAATTTTGCTTAAAGTATACTGATTTAGTTTCTTTTTTTAAATAGGGTCTTTTTATTTAAATAATTCATTTTTTAATTTAAAATACATTTTTATCAATGTTTCATGGAACTGGAACAGTGTAAATATTGTAAATAAGTGTTACATTGATGAATAGACATTCCAAAGAAAATGTGTTCACCTGTTCAATGAATTGTGAATTGGTAAAGGATTATGTATTAAGAGAAAAATATAAATATCATTGCTCTTGTACTTGTTTGGTATATTTTAATTGTAGGTTTGAACTGCATGCCTTTATTTCTGAGGCAAAGTACCCAGCAGTTTTTAACTTAAGACTACAATCAGGAGCCAGTCTGGATACTGATGATTCCTAATAATAGCAGTTATAAGAAAATCTAAACTTGATTTCATTATCTTTTTTTAGTTAATGTTAAGTATGCCCTTTTAGTTAATGTTAAGTATGCATGTATTTAATTTCATTAGTAATACTTTTAGCAAGTTGTAAAATTGTATATATGAATTTGTAAACAAAAAGTGCTTGATTGATTTATCTTTCTTTTTTTGTTTCATCATTTTTTATTGGTAAAAATGTATGTTCTGTTGAAAATACTTAAATCTTTGTGTGTTTTAATTTTTTGATGTTACTGCTTGGATAGCAAAATAAACATATTTTTGAATTTTAATGATTGAAGTTGAAGATTTGTTATATTATCACGTGGTTTAAATGTAAATCTTTCCCATCTTGGTCAACCTTGGCAGGTGAAAATGACTACCAGTTTTTAGTGGTTTTTGGTACCGGTATTCAAGTTAGAGAACAATTCAAGTCATCTGCCTTACTCTTACTCAACTTAGTCTCACAGTAGTAACAGTTTCTACATAATTTGATTTTATTCGTGTCATTTATGATTTACACTTTGGA